CGGGGGCGGGAGGAGGGCTAGGGGGAATGATTGTTACTGCTGATAGCATCTTTATGCAGTTTGGTTTGTATTCGCATATAAAGCGACACATAACAGTAAGCTTCCTTTTAAAAATAATAAGCTCAACACACAGTGAATTCTAAAAGAAGCTGTAAGTGAATTTATTCTTTTGGAGAAGGATGCTTGTGCAAGCACCTGGTGTGTTTGACCCCCCCCCCCCGACCCCGCCTTTTTGACAGTTACTTGTGGCTTCTTTGGGAATAGCTAGGTTTCCACTATATGATGATTCAGATTGGGGTGAGTTGCTGGAACAGACAAGTGTTGTTTTTGATGTTTTTATGAGACTCTAAGATCAATCATATTTTCTTTGTCTTTCATCAAGTGTATTTAAAAGATCTATGTTGTTTGGCAACACTGATAATGTTGTAATTGATATCAGCGTGTTTTCTTATTGCTTGTGTTAGATACACAAAAGTAACTTATTTACTTAAGAAGTGTTTCAAATAGTTGCTCTCGGATTTTTTTTTTTGTAATGCCTCCTAAGTTATTACTGTGGTTTGTACATCAATTGTGAGACTTTCTGTGCATACTTAACAGTACCACTTGTTCTTACGTGACAGATAAGCTAAATCTCAAACCTGGTACAAGTTAATATAAAGCTACAATTGTAACTCATTCACTTGAGGGGATCACCATGCCCTGATTTCCTCCCCATTATATTTTACTGTAATTTGTGTCCTTTATAATGATTTGCTTGTCAGAGGAATGTCATCAGAGACCACTTTTTTCAGGTAGGGTGTTTAATTGTGTTAAGCTTTCTAATTATCTTAGATCTTTCCAAGATCTGTCTTTTCAACTTTGAATTATTTTATGGCAAACCTGGAGCAGCTTGCTGGTGAGGCTTTTGACTGTGTGCATTTCCTGTCATGAATTATAAATAAAACCAAAACCAGAATGGAGCATATTCCTGTCAGAAGTACTAGAAACATGAACTTGCACACTCAAGCTTTGATTTTTGACGTGGATATTTATTAAAGACTCAGGTTGGAACAACGTAAGAGAATTCCCTCTTTTTGTTTTTTGTTTTCCCCCAGACAAAGTCCTCCTAGGTGGAATGTGCTTATTATCACAATGCACTCATCTATTTTTTATGGTTTAGCTTTCTTGTGACTAAAATATTGCACTATTGACTCAGTACTAAAATAATTAGCTGTGGGATTCTGAAAGGCGGTGCTTCCGTTTGGGATCTGGCCACATGTTGCCTTCACGTAGAGGCCTCAGAACTGAGGGGAGGCAGAAGCAAGAGTTGATATGAGACCTTAAAATGATGTTAGTCTAGAATGTATATATTTTTAGGGACCACTGCTTGTAATTTCTAGGTATAGGTGTGATCATGAAGTAAGAAATGGGAGGGAAGAAAATATAGAAATCTAGTCCTCTACCTTAAGCAGTGGGAGGGATAACTAGCCAATAATAAGTTTTTAAAGTAATGCTATTTTGACTTTTCTGTTAGTGTCTTAAAAATGTTTATATGTAAAGGTCAGTGTATGGACTTCTGGATTACAGATGATATTGATAGATGTGTTATATGAAAGACTCACCTCCAATTATGCATTGGAATCCTATTGAGAGTATTTGTTGTTATTCAAGCTACATTTGTGGATGACAGTCATTTTAGTGAGAGCATAGCATATGCAACAGGTGTCATTATTTTTGACAGATGTGTTGTCATGGGAGCTCTTGATGGCTAAATGGATTGAGGTCTTCCTGCCTTTTGCTTTTTGCTAAATGATCTTAAAACTCGCAGCATGTTTGTCTTAGGACTTGAACTGCTGATGGTAATACTGAAGGCTAGATTGCAGTACATAACGTATACTTTCTTGAAGATCTTGTCTGTAAGACTGTGCTTAAAACACTCGTGATGGCCAGTGCTTTTCCCCGTGCTAGCAGTTCCCCTGGCTACTTAGTCTCTCTGTAGAGTGGAACCAAGGACAGCAACCGCCACAGATATGAGTGATCCTTTTATTCTGAACAAAGTGCTTCCCACTTGGGAAGCAAAGAGAAGGCACCAGTCCTACAGTGTTAGAATAAGCTAGCTGTTGGGTTGGAAACAGCCTTGGAATTCGTGAAGAGAAGAACACAGGCTAGAGTGGTTTGCGTGGAGCTGTCCTAAGGCTAAAGCTGAGGCACAGAGTTGCTTCTGTTTGATGTATGTACAGAGGAATAGAGTTTTTGATCCAGTTTTACACTAACACTAGACTGCGACACTTCTTCGACCTGTTATTATTAAATGTATGATACAGTGGTGTTACATTTGAAATTTTTATGATGCGTAAGTGTTTATGAAAGGAAGAGATACTTGTATGCTATTTACTCATTCATGACCCACTATGCCCATGTATACGTATACACAGGATTTAACTGTCTTATTTAGGGAATTTGCTGGCATTATTTATAGGACTATGAAATTTATTTAATATGTTTATACTTTTAAGTATCAGTAAAAATACATTGTTTTAGAACAAGAGCTATCTTTTTTTTGTTTGGAGTTGCACAGAACTTAGGATAATGAAACCTGTGTGGTTAAACTATGAAGCTTATTACTGCCCAGGGTGATGTGCATGCCAGTAGTCTACCAGATTAATACAGTGGTTAGACAAACTCACAGAAGAAAAACGTGCCAAGGGCTTTTTTAAACAGAAAGATACTACTTCAGGCTCAAGAAATTTCTGGCCTGTTTGTAATTGGAAGCTGGGTAAATATCGCTATATGTTTGCCCTACTGTTACCATTTTTCCCTGCAGATTATTATTAGCCAATGTTGGATACTGGATATTGGGCTTCATGGTCCACTGATCCATCCCAATGCAGCTATTCTTGTGGTCCATGGTAGGTTTTTAATGCACAGACTAGGTTTCTAATGTAGTCAGACTATATGCCATCAATATCTGTGGAATGAACAGCTTCATTCTATCTAAAAGAGCTCAATGTATTGCTTTGGCAAAACTGGTGCATCTTCTTACTTTACGTCTTTTAATTGGGGAAGAATGTTTGAGTGATGGTGAAATCTAGTTTTCCATGCTTTTTCGTTTGCCATTAATATTCTTCAAATACTTGAACTGAAATTTCTCATCATTTTTGTCAAATCTAAAGCTGCAATATATTCAGTAAACGTGAGGTAACTTCATTTGGAACGAGGTTTGGAGTGTTATCATTTGAAAATTGAATGGAACGCTAAATCTGCTTTAGATTAAAGCATTTAATATATTGAGCGTATGAGCAGCTTAACTTTGGAATGTTGTTCGTATCAGCAGGATGCTTTATTCAGCTTCAAAAGCTAGAGATGTGGATTTACTTTGCCCATGGTCTGCTATGTCTTTGCAAAACAAATTTGTACTTCGTGGGTTGTAGAGTTTTTTTCAAATGATTTACTAGCCTTGTACGTTCTCCTTACTAAACCAGTAAATGGTTGAAATGTCACAACCCAGAAGGTCCATTCAAGGAATGTACCATGCGGTGTAGTGAAGAAGATAAAGCTGGTAGGAGTCATGTGCTAACATAGTGCTGCCTGTCTTTAAAATAAATTCTGAAAGAAAAAACCCTAGATACTTCCTCCCCTCCAAAACTGCAGAAATTAAGATTTCTTCTATTTAGTTTGGCATACTTTACATGCACTCTAGTATATATGCACTCTCGTAATGTAGGGGACAACTTAATTAAATTAACATTTTGTCTTATTATTTATGCACGTTTGGGTTTGATACGGTTGCTGCTTTAAAGGGCATACTGTCTAGGTGAAACCTTATCCTGTGGAGGAGGCAGTTGACTGCCTAATATTCTCTGCTTGCTTAGAGGTTTGGAATTGGCTGCTGAGCTTTTTGAAGCACTTTTCTTTGGGATGTAAGGTAAATGTCCAAATTTCTGGGAGATCTGGCTTTTTGTTTTTCATCACGTGATTCATGCCAAGCTTTATTTTGAATATCTGGCATTTTTCCTGCCTAAAATTTATTGCTGTAGACTAGCAATAGTAATT